TCGCGGGACATTTTACAAATCAAAGATAAGTGTAGGAGTCTCCCTAGCGCTCCACACGATTGTTCTCCGTCTTTTTTTCTGACAGCTCGCGAGAGAGGGGGCGGCGTATTGCGTGATGTCGACCTGCGAATGCAGAAATGATGGCTGGATTGCGTTTACATTACACTGAGATCCGATCACAATGCATCCTCGACTACCTCTGGAGCAGGACACACTGATCGGATGACATTCCGATCAGAAGTACGTTAACACTTGTCTTTTCAATGTGTATGTGGACAATTTGTGAATTTTCCATTTTTCTAAAAAAACAAAAACAAAAAAAAAACTACAACAACAACTGGATTTAAATATGAAGTTGATGCTTTGTGGCTCTTTCTGTCATTGTTACAGTTTGGTTGTTTTTCAATTTATTAAACCTTACTATACACTGGAAAAAAATTTCACAGTAAATTTACAATAAAACTACGAACTGTGGTTGCTAGAAACTGGCCGTAAAAAAAAATGGTGACGATGAATATGGTAGTGCGGGATAGCATATTGGTAGGGGTGGGCGATATGAGCTAAAATTCATATCACGATATTTTACACTGTCCCGGCGATATCGATATTATATTGCGATATGAGAAAAAAAAATTACAGGCCAAATAGTTTAACCTTATATAACTAGAAAAAGTGAGGGATTGGAATGAATATTTGAAATGGTCCTTTGTGTCAGAGCGCTGGAGTTTGTCAGAAATAGAACACGGTATCAGTTTACTGTCATGGATTTGTCGTGTCGCGTCGCATCCACAGCAGAGAGCAACACTGGGTTCTATTTGCTTTTGTCAAATCGCGCCGCTCGCGTCTGGTATAGACACGTTGTTTTGGTATTTGTGAGTCTTAAGTATATTCATAATCTGCTTTACGTTTACCTGTCACTGGTAGTCCTTCACAAACTTGTAACTTTTATGCTTAGAGCAGAACCATACATCATTCATTTATATTTCTACATGGCTCCGTGCAATACAACTCTGATTCTTCAATTGCGCCATCTAGTGGTTTGTTACTGATACAACCACAACTTCTACAAATGATAACGGAGCGCTCAAGCGGGTAATGCGAGCCATGTTGAGGTAATTAAAATGTCAAATTAATATTTTGCGCTCAATTATTTACTTATCAGACAAGTGGCCGCATGATAAGCGGGAAAATTACGTAGTGTAGTCTTTATCACCCTGCAGAGGTTTGTTTTGCAGTTCAACTGGAGTAGGCGATTTGCGCTCTGTTAATTTGGTCTGTTACAATGCTCTATGTGTTTGATTACTAATGCCTGTGTAGCACAGCGTTGCACACAGAGGACAAAAACGTTCAGCCTGGACTCTTTATCATCATTTGTGTTCAAATTTGCAAAGCGTACCAAATTGAACAAAACTATATAAATGCAAAATTTGAATTCATGAATATATAACGGTATCCACGGTATAGCAAAATCCATATCATGGAACAACATAATACACAAAATCACTTTCATACTGGTATAGCACCCACCCCTACATATTGGTGCCTGTATATTTTACAAATAACCATACATTTCATTAAGTGATATAATGTTAATATGCCAAGTCACTTGAACTACCAAAAACTAAATTATTTATATAAAATATAAACATGTGTCATACTGTCAGACCTATGTTCCTGTTTTGTTGTGTTTTTTCCCCATGTGCTCCCCATGACCCAGTTTCTCCCTCTCATTTGATTAGTCATTTGGTTCAGGTGTGTCTCGTCAATTACCCTCGTTTAGTCTTGTGTATATATAGTGGTGTCTGTTCCTGGTTTCCTTTGTCCAGTGTTAACGTCATTTTGTTAACGTCCATGCAATGTTCTATGTGTGTGTTCCTGCCTGCCCTGTATTCCCCTTTGTTTTGGATCATTAAAGACTGTTCTTCGTATATCTCCTTCATCTCCGTGCTCCTTCGCTCCTACTCTGTAGACAACGTGACAGAACACTGGACCAACAAAGATGAACTGGGCTGAAGACCAGCTGTGGTGCCTGTGGCAGGGTGGTAGACCTTTGGAAAGGTATGTGGAGGAATTCCTCAAGCTTTCCCATCGGGTGAGCTGGCATGATGCTTCACTCTGTGCTTGTTTTCAGTTGGGTCTGGATGAGGAAACGATTCGCTGTAGTCTTCCTGCGTGTGAATTCTCTTTGGTCGAGTTGATTAATCTCATTCTGTATTTAAATGGTTCAAATTTTGAAGTAGAAGAAGTTAAGGGAAATGTGAATCATCCTCATCCAGCCCCCTCTGAAGCACACTTCGCCTCTCCAGCTCACCCAACGCCGGGACCCTCCACATGCCTAACCAATGGTTCCGATCACCCATATCCTCCTGTGTTTCCCCGAGCCCGTAAGTGAGTTTCCAACAGCGCTGAAATCCGCCTCCCTTCCTCCGTTTCCAGCTCCCAGAACCATTCCGGTCCTCAGCCCAGAACCAGCGGCCGCAACACACTCAAGCCTGCCGGCAACTCCACTCTCAGAACTAGCGGTCGCTCCACTGTCAGCCCGTTGGCCGATTCACTCCCAAGTCATTTGATGACAGCAACTTTCTCCTTCACCTTAAACCAAAAGAGGAGCATGAGGAGGAAGAGACTGTTTTCAACCCTGATCCACTCTCCAGAGTCCGCTCCAGTGTCGGCTCCAGCCCCTGAGTCCGCTTCAGTATCGGCTCCAGCCTCCAAGTCTGCTCATTTTATCAAGTTCAGTCCAGAATCCACGACAGTCCAAACAAATTCAGAGTCCGTTCCAGGCCCAAAGAGGGCTCCTATCCCCACGTCCGGCCCAGAGAGGGCTGCTGTTCCCACGTCAAGCCCAGAGAGGGCTCCTGTCCCCACGTCCGACTCAGGGAGGGCCTCCAATCCCGAGTCAAGCCCAGAGAGGGCTCCTGTTCTCATGTCAAGCCCAGAGAGGGCTCCTGTTCCCACGTCAAGCCCAGAGAGGTCTGCTGTTCCCGCGTCTGGCCCAGGGAGGGCCTCTGATCCCGAGTCAAGCCCAGAGAGAGCTGTTGTTCCCCCGTCTGGCCCAGAGAGGGCCTCAGATCCCGAGTCTAGCCCAGAGAGGGCTCCTGTTCCCATGTCAGGCCCAGAGTGAGCTTCTGTTCCTGAGTTTAGCCTAGAGAGGGCTTCTGTTCCCGAATGTGTATATATACAGCCAGTTCCAGCCAGGGGATCTGGAGTCTTCCCCAAGAAAAATTGGGGGGGTGGCTATACGTCTCCAGCCGTAGGGACCAGGCTGAGTTCCAATGCCAAGACCATGAAGGCCATCCCGCCATGGCTCCCTGAACTGCCTGCTCTGCCTTGGCCCCCTGAACTGCCTGCTCCACCATGGCATCCTGAACTGCCTGCTCCGCCATGGCCTCCTTAACTGCCTGCTCCGCATGGCCTCCTGAACTGCCTGCTCCGCCATGGCTTCCTGAACTGCCTGCTCTGCCATGGCCCCCTGAACTGCCTGTTCCGCCATGGCTTCCTGAACTGCCTGCTCCGCATGGCCTCCTGAACTGCCGGCTCCGCCATGGCTTCCTGAACTGCCTGCTCCGCCAGGGCGCCCTGAACTGCCCACTCCGCCATGGCACCCTGGACTGCCTGATCCGCTATGGCCCCCTGAGCTCCCTGATCCGCCCTGGAGGCCTCCCGTTTCTCCGTCCTGTACCAGCCTCCAGGGTGCCCACCTCCCCTCCCCGGTGGAATTGTTACGGCGCGGGACGCGCCTTCCGGGAGGGGGGAGTTATCTGCCATGGCCTCCTGAACTGCCTGCTCCGCCATGGCTTCCTGAACTGCCTGCTCCGCCATGGCTGCCTAAACTGCCTGCTCCGCCATCCCATGACCCAGTTTCTCCCTCTCGTTTGATTAGTCATTTGGTTCAGGTGTGTCTCGTCAATTACCCTCGTTTAGTCTTGTGTATATATAGTGGTGTCTGTTCCTGGTTTCCTTTGTCCAGTGTTAATGTCATTTTTGTTCACGTCCATGCAATGTGCTATGTGTGTGTTCCTGCCTGCCCTGTGTTCCCTTTTGTTTTGGATCATTAAAGACTGTTCTATGTATATCTCCTTCGTCTCCGTGCTCCTTCGCTCCTACACTGTAGACAGCGTGACACATACAGGTAAGGGTTTTTACTGTAGCTTTTTATTGTATTTTCTGTAAAAACTTATTTTCTGTAAAAACATCTTTTACAGTGAAGCATTTAATGGTCTCATTCAGGGTCAGAAATTGACCAGTGCTACCGAAAACAAAACATGATGAAAATTCCCTAGATATTTTCATGTGCCGAATATTTTATTCTAGTGATGAGCTTAGAAGTTTAACGTTACTGCTGACAAAGTAGTGACCTGTAAATATCAGGTTTGTTGTGTATTTACTGTCTCAGAGACCTATTTCTTAATCATTTACAGTATTTTTTATATTCAGTGATGATTTGATTTTACAGAAAACAGCCATAATTGTTCATGTACAAAATGTATTTTAAAATAATTGATACGTTATACTTTATATGTACTAATATGTGTAACATGTTACTTTCATGTGACACTTTCCCTGACAAATACAACTGAAAATGTCTTCTTTGCCATTCTGGTTGAAATCAGTAGTACAAGTCACTAATGTTGATGGAGATGTTGGTGAGTAAAATGGGTAGTTCTATAGAGTATGTGTCAAGCTTATCAGTGATGGAAAGGTTTTCTTTCAAATTTATGTTTTAAAAACATGTTTCTTTTAAAATAACCTTGGATACTAACTAACAACTAGGGACTAACAATGAACAATACATTTATAGCATTAATTCATCCAGGTTACTCTTAATTATATGTCATATTATTAATTTGTAATAATTTTTTTTAATTATATTTTAATAACCCATATTTATGAGTTGTAAGCAGACATTTTTAAAACAAAAAAATGATTCATTGCACTAATTTAAAATCACTATGTAATCACAGCCATCATTTGATGCCATGCAAACCAATATCTGAATAGGAGCAAGTAATCTAAGGAAATTCATCTGACAAATTCATACAGCTCTAATATCCTGTCTGGTGCAGGTTATCAATATTAGCACAGTCCAGTTGCTTCTCCTCGTCTGTGCCTCTATCATCACTCTTTTCTACAACCACCTCAAATCTTCAAATCAGCTGAGTGCAGAGTTCTGCAGGCATCTTACGTTTCATTGATCATTAGTCTCTTTGTTTACATTAATATATTTAGATGCCTGACGAAGCATTATATGAATCATGTAAAATTAAAGACTGGAGATTTAACAAAAAATCTAAACAGTATAGATCTACACTGACTAAAACAATTATCAGCAGCTGGTATCAATCAAAATGTCTATATCCATAGTTAATATTCATTCCTAATAATATTCATTATAAACAATACATATTGTACAATATAAGAGATGCTACTCACTGTGGCTCCAGAGCACCTGACACTGGGCATCCCTGGTCTTGCAGCGACCCCCATAGCAACGCCCCTGACAGAGCAAGAAGAGAGTACATAAGCATACCGTCTACACATATACACTCAGCCTGACTTACACTTTTGAACACTTTTGTGTCCATATACTGAAAAGTTTAACTAAGTTCAAGCCAACTGCCAAATCAGCCAGCACAACAAACCAAAAATAATAATACTGAGTGCCCCTCACTGGAACATTTAAATTCATTTTAATTTAAATCTTATCCATGTAATTGTTTAACGAGACATGTCTGCCAGTGTTATGCAGTAAATCATGTAAACAAAATACAGTAACAATGCTTAGTACTATGGTTGCAAGAAACATGTTAGGTTCATATTAGACAGAAAAACAGAAATTATTTTACCAGTCCAGCATTGCACATGTAACCATCCAGTTTGTGGACATTATGTGGACACTGTTTGAGAAATTAATGAGAAGCATATGTCAATTTCTTACATTATTATGATTATTATTATTATGATAACAATGATTTAAATGTATAATTACTTTACTCGAATCGCCAGTGCATGTTTCCGGCACATCACAGTCATTCACTGCATCCCTGCAGATCACTCCTCTCTGCTCATACTGCAACACACAAACAAAATGAATCACACTAAATTATTAAAAAAAAAGATCGACTGATGACTAATCCCTTCAAAAATGAATAGTGCACCCTCATGCTCTTCCAAAGCTGTATAGGCCAATTCATACTGCACCGACAGACAGCAACAGACATGTTTGTCTGGTTTTGTCAGATCAGTGTTACCCTGTCAGCATCCGTTGGCGTTGGTTAGTGCCTATTTTTTATGTAGAATCAGCATTTGGGATGTCTTGGAATGTCTAAAAAGTGACATACTGTAATCTGGTGACAGTGGCCGTTGATCTGCATCTGCCGGTGCAGTGTGAATTGGCCTTATGACTTTCTTTCTTCTGTGGAACACAATAGGAGAAATTTTAAACAATATATTGATGGGAGAAACATGCTGAAATTTAAAAAGTTATTCACTGATCCTTCTCTCCAGTGAACGCACAGCTCCATTGTAGATTGGATAATGGAGTCAACTAACTTAGAAGAGTCTGATTTGTGAATGAATCATTGAGGCTGTTTTGTGACAAGGGGTGGCAACTGCCACCCGAAGAGAAAACATTGCTACCTCTACATTAGTATGCCAATGTATTAAATATAAATCTTAGTATTTTCCTGGACCAATTAGTATTTCAAACTTCTCGTTTTCTAGCTGCCAGATTGGCGCTTGCAAGATAAAAGTTTTCCCGGTGACAACAATAGATGTACCTAACAAGATCAAGTCAGTAATCAAAGGCTTTTTAAAAGTCTATTTATAAATTAAAAATCAATTAAAAATATTGTATATTCTCCTTGTTCTTCTTTGCATTATTAACTTGATGGTTTTAAATGTACAGTATAATGTGCTAAATGCATTTTTAATAAGGGATGACTTGGGGTCATGGCTTAATTTTGTTGCGTTTACATTGTTGTTGCATTGAGTTTCAAATGGACTCATTTAGAATTGCCTGTTTAACTTAATTCTTGGGAAAAAATTGCATCTGTACTGGAAATAAATGTTGTCGTTTTTTAAAAAATTTTTTATCATGATGAGGTGATTTGAGGGAAATGACTGAATGAGTTAATATCACTGAGATAATATGCTCAAATGTACCGCTGGGCAGGGGCGTAGCCATAATTTCAGAAGTGAGGGGGACAGAAATGTTATATATATATATATATATATATATATATATATATACATAACATTACAATATAACATTTCTGTAATCTATATAACCTACCAGTCAACAGTTTTTGAA